TACATTGATACGAAGTTATTAACGCTTACACACGATCTTATTATTAGTCATGGTTGAAAAAGCGCTTTTTATCAAAATTTAGACAGACCATTAGACCAGTTCATGTGTAGTCCTTTACAATACTACATTATTACGACCCTAGCGGGAGAAGGAGCAAGTAGTAAAAAGCCACCACGTGACGTGACGCCGCTGCGGATTTGCGAAACAGCTTTTTCCATCGAATTGTGATGGTAACGACTCCAAAAATGAAGTTATATTCGTAATGATAACCGCTATGACTCGTATTGGATAAGTTTTAAGGCGATACTGCTGCTCTTCGTGAGATAGCATTGCCGCAGCAATATCGAATCTGCTGATCCAATAACCCCCTCAAAACTGCATAGCATTGCCGAAATTTTGCTGTGCCTAACACCCTAGTTTCAAGCTTTATGCAAGATTCGCTGGTACCTAGTTCGATTCGCTGGTACCTAGTTCGAATCGCTGGTGCATCGTTCGATTCGCTAGCGATTCGCTCGACTCGAGCGATTCGCTCGATTCGCAAAGTATGACGTCGGCCTTAGAGTGAAGTGCACCCCTACAACTAGCGAAAATAAAAATCATCGGAAGCTGGAATTAAGGATTTCTTTCAATGCGATCGAGGTGGTGGGGATCTCACTACGACCCCTAACACCACGACCAGCCTTAGACAGTTCCTTCAGCACCCTCCCCTTCTCACCGCGACCACCAGACTCACCGCCATGGCTGTTCTCGATTATGGAACCACTCGACACACACCCACTTTGCCCACTTTTTCCTGTGAGACTGCGGTCCTTCAAGAAAGGGGGAGGGGAGGGAGAGAAAGAGAACATGAAAGGATAAAGCATTTGCCGTTGATCAATCCCTTTTTGGGATGCGGCACGCATTCTACTTCCATTTGTACATTCGTAGTGGCGTTTGAATGCGATGTGGCCTATACAATGACTTGCGGGGCCAGCCGATGTACAAGTCAGTGTTTTTATCCTCCCAGACAAGTCTGGTACCAATTAACCGACCCCGGAGGGATGGAAGGCTTGGTTGGCCCGGGCGACTCACGACCCAGGATTGATCCCCGGACCGCTCGCGTGGTAAGCGTGCCACTTGCCACTACACCACTTCCGCCCTTCCGACGAGAGAAGATAGATAGAGTAAATGTGAACCTGTCTGAGAAGCGGCTTATTCTCTAACTCCCACCACTTAATACTTACGTTTTGAAATTTTCACCGTTTGGACATTACCGCCTCCCCCTCCCCTTCACCACGTTGGAATTTGTACCAGCGGAAGGTTGACCCTGTGTGCGAGCGCATACATCCTGCTTGCATCGCGAACAACAGCTATAACCACTCGCAGCCCAGCAACAAAGCTCTAGCTCCTCTGTCATGTACCTTCAACTCACAACGACACAACCTCCACGCGGCGCCCGAGTGGAGAGGTAGTTTATATAGGTACGTTTGCGAGCTGATCAGTCCGTGCTCGCCTGTTCCATTCAGGGAAGCAGTAAGAGCAGGGTGAAAATCGTGTCGAGTACGTGGTCGCAGAGGTACGACCCCCCCCCCCGAAATCGAGATCCTGGCACGACCCCCTCTAACAGAGCAAATTAATTCAATTAAAATAAATCCTGCAAAACAAATCAAAAAAAATTCTGCAAAATAATGCTAAGGACGCTTCATCTTGTCATCTATGCACGTCTTCCATCGCTGCATACTTTTGTGTACATACTGAAATATCGACTCGAGGAAAGAGGCATTAACTTTGTGTGACCTCAAGGCGAGGTTCGTTCAGAAACGCACAGAAATCCTGAAGACACGGGGTTGCGATTCAATCTTGATTCTTGCTTGAGTATATCAAAACAGCCGAGTGTATCAAAGGCCGATTCAACGGCAGCTGCGGCGCGATTGTCACTGGGTCAGATTTGCCGAAATTTCAAAAAAAAAACGTCCGAATCTACACCCTCGATGAAAAGGTTGCATTCCTCCATTTCACAACCTTTGAAGCAGCTTGAGGTAGAGTTAGATAGAGCTGGATTTCGCGTTTCCAACAAGCATCGAAATTGCTCTGGAAGCCTTCCTTGCAGAAAGATAGGGTCTGTCAAATTTCGTCGAGTAAATGTCGAGGAGGCCCAAATTTTCACGCGAGTTTTTGCCACTTCAAGAGCAATATATCTCTTATATTGTAAGATCCTGAAAAAGGGAAGATAGTTTTGGAAAGCGGAAGGTTTGCGCTTCCTGATGGTCTGTTTAGTTTTCTTCTACAGCTTTTTGGTTGAAGAGATAATTGCGTCGAGGATCTATCGAGGTCGGATCCGGCCACCTGGAAATCCGCTCCCTCATTCACCATTGCAAGTGTGACTCGTTGGCAACACTCGGAATGTGTCTAGAACAATATCTTTGAACGCAAACAATAAGAATAGGAGCAATCGTCATCATCCGATTTGGTATTGGTATAAGCCATGCATCCCTCCTCCACTCACAGTTGCAGAATCGATTGAAAGGTGTTATATGATGGGGACCTTCGAACGAAACTGTATTGTAGTAGACATAGTGTGTTGTGCTATTCCTGTAACCTAAAAAACAACTTCATTTGCCCAGCGCTTTTTCTTCACGGTTGTCGTTTTTCCGACAGGGTCCCTAACAACAGCGTCATTCTCAGCGAGGTATTAAGGGAGAAGGAGCGAGTGATAGGCGGAGGAGGTGCCTTTGCAGCGCGTGCGCACATGTGGCACTCTTCTTTGCGGGGATGCACTTTCATTCTTTGTACTGCCTTCAAATACGCCCTTCTCATGAAGGTGGAGGAATGGAGCGACTGAACCTGCAAAGAAAATTTAATATCATGTTTTTTTTCGGATGTTTTCATTTTCTGCTGCGCTATACCCTATTACCTATCTGCACCATGATACCACTTCTGTTACTGACCCCCAAGAGTACGACCCCCCATGGACCAGCCCAACAGGTACGACCCCCCTGTCGAGGATTTCCTCGACCGATATTCACCTGGTAGGCAGGTGGACAAGTGTTGATGTCGGGCCCCTTTTGCGGCTTGAAAGTACGCGACAAAGGCGCAAGGAGCTCGTCCAACCCGCAACTCACACCTTCGTCCGCAAGCCCCACCCTTCGCTGTCGGTTGCCACGTGGCGCTGCTTGAAAAGCGCGAGTCGGCATATGTGGCAGG